ACAACAAAATGGATTAAAAATTGTTGTATCATAAAATCATGTGTTTATCCACCAAGAACGGAAGCAAATTAAATCTAGGGTAAGAAGGAAGCTGTATTATAAAAATTAGAAAGAAGTGGTAGAAGAGTCAAAGTAGGAGAGAGAAAAGGAAGAATTTCAGAAAAAAATAAGACAGGAAGGAATAAATCCAAGAATGAATGATAAAATTGAATCCCAAAATAGCATAGTGCAACCCCAGAGACAGAGTAGCTACAAAGACTCTGAGGGAAAAGAAACTAGAAGTGAAAAGCTAATGCAATCACATATGTGCAAATGATTTGAAAGTTTAAAGGAAACTTGCAGATGTGAGAAGTCACTAAACACAAAAGCAACAGAACTGTGAGCAGAATGAGCCACTATCAGGCTTTCACAGGGGACATGAAAGTATCACCTCGGATGTCAGTCAAGAATTCTAGGTTTGGGGAAAGGTACCAGATGGCCCAGCTGGCTGTAATCGGAGATCAAACACCGTTTTAAACAAAGGAACCAGGCAGAGGCTTTGTAAATAAGCCAGAAGACTAAAGGAAAATCTTCATGTATGTGCTCCTGCATCCTTCTCTTTTTCTTACCCACTTAGGTAAACTGTGACTTTATTAGTATTCATAAAGAAAAGGGTTTAAAAGGAAAGATCACATTTTTCTGCATATACCTACACATTCATCCGTGAATCGTCAATAAAGAGCACACAGACATTATGCAAGGTCACTCACTCTTTTACCCAACCCTAAAAAGATGCTTCAGTGCTGAGTTAGCAGTATACTCAGTCTGGTATTAGAAAAAAAAAAAGGAGTTCCAGAATCAGAACCAGAGCCAGAAGACCTATGGTCTAGGTTCAGCTCTGCTGGTGTTAACTGTGTGACCTTGCCATGTCCTTTAGATTCCACGAGGCTCAGACTAAATCATATGTGAAGTGAACATTTTAATCCTACCTGCTTTAACCACCTCATGGAGTTATGATGACAATCAGGTGAAATAAGGTAAGAAAAAGCTAAGCAAACATTAGTTATTATTAGGTCATCAAGAAGACAGTGGTACTGAAGGAACCAAAATAGCTCAAGTAGATAACTGGTAGACCAGCTAGCCAATCCTCATTCTGACAGTTGGTTAGATTACATTCTAGACTCTCAGGACATAAGGACATCAAGGAACAAAAAAATGGCCCCAGTTTTTTTCCATATCACAGTTAGGAATTGGCTGGGGGAAGGGGCAATGGGGTAGGATAAAGGGCATATTGCTGTCTCTCTTGGTCATACCTCAAGAAGTGCCTACTTTCTCTGATCAAGCTTCTGATGACTCACATCAGCAAGGTATAACAGGAAGCAAATTGACCCAAATGGGGATCTGAGACTTTATTTTACAGGTTACCAGCTTATTTCATGCATATGATTTCATTCACTCCTCATCACATTTCCGTGATGGAAAATCTAGGCAGCCCCATTTTTGCAGATGAGCAAACAGAGGCTCAGGGAATTACTTATATGCTCAAGATGGAATAGAGGAAGAATCTAGCCAACAGCTCAAATTTTATGACTCTAAGCCACATATGCTGAGCCAACTAGAGAGAAATGATGATTATAACTAGAAAAGCCATTTTTTTCCAGCTCTAAAGCCTAATATTATCTACACATGATTTTCTGAAGTCTGCACTTACAGTTCAAAGAGGCATTGATTTAGTTTTTACCAAAATATGCCATCTGTATCTTTGAAATCTCTTATAACCCTGTTGCCTATTGAGGAGCTAAGATCTGAATAAATGCTTTCATTTGGATTTCAAATGCCTTTATCTTCATGATGCAGACACTTTATAGACAGCTGATAAATAAAATAGAAGGCCCCTCACACAAGCTAAAAATATACCCTCTTTTTCTTCTTTTATCTGTTCTTAGTAATTTTGGAAGGAGTTGGTTGGGAAGAATTTGTCAAGATGAGAGACATACAATCCCCAAATGTCATTAAACCTTTTTACAGGAATAAAGTGCAGCTTCAAAGGGATAAGATTAGACCCCAATACCTGCCTACCTCCTAGAGAGAAGCAGAAATGATATTAAAATTAAATGATAGTATGATGAAAAGTCACAAGAGCTACCTGTCATAAAATAAGAATAGCTCACTTCTCTTCACTATTTTTAATGTTTAGCAAGCTGGGGGTGTGCAGGGATTAAAGAACATGAGAGTTCTGACCTACCTGTACAGAATAGGAGCAAAGCCACAGAGCCAAGAAGTTCAATGAATATTATTTCCTGAGGATGCTGTTATAAGCCACAAGAATTTAAACCTCCTTAAACCTGGGACTATTCTAGGAGCTTGGGAGGAGAGGGGTGTCTGGAAGTTTTCATGTCAAGACTTTTTCAGAAATGAAAATACCAGGTCTTTTTTGCTTTTTTAACACTGTTTAAAGAAAAGAATTCCCTAGCGATGCCACACAATTACCCTATCCAATTGGTAGGGACATGTCTTTAGTGAAGCATGCCAGACTAGAGGAATGTGGGATCTGGTGGGAATGAAGAAAGTCTCCCTGGGGAAGATGGTATCTGTGCTCTAATTCTTTAAAAATGCATTGGTGTTAGCTCGGTGAGAGAGAGAAGATAGTAAAAGGAACTACCTCACTGAGGCCTAGAGCATGAGACAGCAGGGTGCATTTGGTGTTCTGCAACATGTCTTGGAAGGCTGACTGGCTTAAGACCTTTCTGTATTGGGCTGAGGATCTAAGATGCTATTCTTTAGGATCATGGCAATCAGAATCTTAGAGTTAAAACAAACTTCTAAGATTAAGAGTAATTTTTAGGGCATCCATATAAGAGTAGCGGTATCCTAATCTTCTAATTTAAAATATTTGAAATGACAAGCTAATAGAAATTCAGAAATTTTCTAAAATATAATTTGTATTTTGCTTTTAAAACTCAAACATTTGAATAATACCTGGAAATGCGAGGTATTAGACAATGGATAGCAAAGGATACTCATAATCTTTACAAACTCTGCTCCTGGGTCTGGAGCCTCTAGGACACTCAAGAGGATGAAAAGCCATTGAAAGGTTTTAAACAGAGGAATAGCGTGATCAGATAAATCATAAGAGGAGTGACAGGATCAGTGAAGCTCTGTTCTCCCTTGTCATTAAAGATTTTCTGTGTGATTCCCCTCAGGAGAATTTGCATTTAAATGGGAGGGACTTAAAATTAAAAGGGAGAACTCTTAAATGATGGGCAATGCTTAACAACATGGAATAAACTGAAAACGGTAGTTGAAAAATTTATCACGACTGCTTTGCTGGTTCTTGAAATCCCACTAAAGAGTAAAACAATGCACAGCAGTTGTGAGAATCTTATATAGGATGAAAGACTGTTCTGTGTCTGTAAATCTTTACTTGTTACCTGATGCATCAGGAATAGGGCGATGCTGACCATAGATGGATGATCAGATTTCGGAAAATAAGATTGTAATACTTCTTGAATGGAAACCCTCAGAAACTCTTTTGCCCATTTCATGATTGGATTGTTTGTTTCTTTGGTGTTGAGTTTAATAAGTTCTTTATAGATCTTGGAAAGTAGCCCTTTATCTGATATGTTATTTGCAAATATCTTCTCCCATTCTGTAGGTTGTCTTTTAGTTTTGTTGACTGTATACTTTGCTGTGCAAAAGCTTCTTATCTTGATGAAGTCCCAATAGTTCATTTTTGCTTTTGTTTCTTTTGCCTTCGTGGATGTATCTTGCAAGAAGTTACTGTGGCTGAGTTCAAAAAGGGTGTTGCTTGTGTTCTCCTTTAGGATTTTGGTGGAATCTTGTCTCACATTTAGATCTTTCATCCATTTTGAGTTTATCTTTGTGTCTGGTGCAAGAGAGTGGTCTAGTTTCATTCTTCTGCATGTGGATGTCCAATTTTCCCAGCACCATTTATTGAAGAGACTGACTCATCCCAGATAGATAGATATATAGACATAGATATATGTCTTTTTTTTTTTTGAGTAGTCTTCACGCCCAACATATAGCTCAATGTGGGGGTTGAACTCTCAACCCTGAGATCAAGACCTGAGCTGAGATCAGAAGTTGGATGCTCAACCAACTAAGCCACCCAGGCACTCCTCATCCAAGATAATTAAAGAGGAGAGTAAGTGGCATTGGAATGATTTGGGGCCATTGCATCTACGTTAAATATAGTTAGGCTCCACAGGGACTTGGAATGAGATCTAAGAAACTGTCACAGACCTGGACAGATATTCTCTTCAAATTTCTCTCCTGATCCTTCTTCCCCTCCCCCCACATTTTTATTATTATTTCTCCCTGCAAATCTGCTTCCATTTATGTTTCTTTCTATACCCAAACTTTCTCCTATCTCCTAGTCCCAACCCCACTAGTTGGATAATTTCAGCCTGTTACCTAAACTATCTGAGCACCAAATCTAAGGTCATAGAATTGAGCTGCTTATGATGGCACCAGGATTTCAGCTCTTTCACCACTGCAAGGAGCAAAGGAATGACTATACTCACTGATTATTGCAGGATCCAAATGATATAATGTGTTTAGTTCTAACAGTGAACAGCCACATCAATAAGTTGCCGTTCCAATCAAAGGAAAGTAGTCAACAGAGCGTAGGAGTCTAGGATACCTTGCTGCTCCCTTTATGAGTTTTGCTGTCAGGCTATATTGATGCTTATTAGGATAAGGATCATCCTAATTGATCAAGAGCTCACCTAGTGAACAAAAAAGCCTATCTTTTTTTTAAGAGCTTATTTATTTATTCATGAGAGACACACAGAGAGAGGAAGAGACACAGGCAGAGGGAGAAGCAGGCTCCCTGTGGGGAGACCAATGCAGGACTCTATCCCAGGACCCTGGGGTCACACCCTGAGCCGAAGGCAGATGCTCAACCACTGAACCACCCAGGTGCCCCTCCCCCCAAAAGCCTGTCTAAAGGAATAGTTTCATATCAAGCATGTTCGAGAGTCAAGAAAGATTCACAGAGGTTGTTATACAGATATATATTTAATACAATATAGGTGATCGTGGTTACATGATACATGTTTGGTGCATTATTTATCAAGAAGTATAAGTCACATAGTACACAACATACTGACTACAAAATCAGAAGATAAACAATTGTTTCTAAATGAAAAACTTATGGGATAAATGCTGACAGATGGATTTTCAGCCTTTCATTTCTTCTCCTGTCTCTGGGACGTGTCTCCCAAAGATGTGAGTTCTGGCATTTAAAAAAAATTTTTTGGTCTTCCCAAATCCTGCTACTGTTTGACATATAAGGAACTTTTAGAAGAAATGATCCGGATTATTTCCCTCCATTGGAAAACTTCTCAGCATTTCCCCCTGTTTGGCCTACAACTTAGCTTACACATTTTCTTAGGAAGTTAAATGCTCTTAATGTATCCATTGCTACATAATTGTGATTAGACTCAGTTATCTTAAATGTTTCCTCTTGCAGGGGGGAGGAAAGGAAGGGAGGTATAGGTGTGAGGTTGGGAGGGAAAGTACCTCAGGTGAGAAAACAAGTAACTTGCAAGAGGCTTCTTAAACTGGATTTGAATAAGTTTGATGTGTAGCTTCTCTACTAGAAAAATAAGATAAGAAGATTATTATTATTAAACTGTGAGGTGAGGATAACAATCCCAAGACTTTTTCCCCCTTCACTCTCTCCTCTGAGTTTCCATTCAAAGCTGCAAATGTCTCCTCAGTTGGAAGAGTTGATCTTTTCAGTTCCATGAGGGTTCACTGATACTGGGGAAAGCCTTGCCTTGACTATCCATTGCTCTGGTCGCCACATGCCCTATCTGGGTGAAAGTGTGTTTAACACAGGTGGCAGTTGCTCAATTGTTAACTGAAGAGCCTCCTCCCAAACAAGTGCTACCTACATACTCGTCCAGTAGAATGGAGACCAGAAAACCTCAGAGGTCTAATGACAAGTCAGTCAGGATAGACCGAGATGCGTGAAGACCTCACGTCCAGAACCTACATAGAGTTCCCTGGCTCTTGGGTTTAGACGTTTGGGTGTTAGAAACTCAGTTCTCCATTCTCTTCTCTCCCGCACAAGTGAGCCAAGTGGGGGAAAGCAGATCTCTACATCTGCTCTTTCTTCTAATCAAGACTCTCTAGGATTTGAAATGAAGTTTCTCATCTAGCTGCGTTGTGATCAAGGCATGTCTTGTTTGAAAACCGTAGTGATGACAGCGAGAAGTGGTTTGATTTTCAGCTAAAGGGAGCTGTTCTTAAATGTTTCCTAGTAAATGGATTAACTTCGTAGGTCTGGGCACTCCCTTCTTCACCACTACCCTTCCCTCCTCTCTTCCCTTTTAACTCCTGAGCCTTTATCTCCCAAACTTGCTAAAGTCCCAGGAAATAGGGAGAATGGGCTGCTATGACACAGATAGCCTTTTAAATAATGTTCATGATCAAATCTGTGATCGAGATAGATAATTTGACAAAGCCCTGGCAGGGGATGCTTACGAGTGTATCCACTGATTTGCTGATAGTCAGTTTTTACTGAAACTTCTGAACAGCTCTTATTCTTTGGGAGGCAATTAATAACCCCATCCCACTAGAATGAAGTCTGGAGAGAGGACCCACCAATCAAGCAAATCCATGGATTTGTAGAGGGTAGAAATAAAAGCAATTTCTTTCACCAAGTTTTTCTCATTATGCACTAAAAACTGAAATCTACTGATAGTGTAATTTATACAATAGAGAATTGGAGTTCACGGGGCATGGGGAGCAAAATGTTTCTATACATTGGATGCTACTGATGTGAAATCAAAGGGACTGAAATGCCTCAGTTTTCCATCTCAGAATGTCTGTCTGGGAGAAGGAGAGAGAGAGAGAGAGAGAGAGAGAGAGAGAGAGAGAGAGAGAGAGTTGTTCATGTGAGCAAGCACTGCTTTAGTAGATAAACAGAGCTCCTTAATTTCCTCTAGAATCAACAGTCTACCTCTTTACTCTGGTCCAATTTGGTTCCTAATCTGACGCCAACCCCAAACTGTATCAAACCCAGGCAGAAAATTTTAGGTCGTGGGCCATTCCTGGCTAATCTAGGTTTCTTTCAAGAGTGAGAAGCCTTTACTTCTCTTTCCATTGACCACAGTCTGGCTCTGCTACCTCTCTACATCCCAGATCACTTGCGACTATAGTTCGTCGTCCTCCACAGGGGAGGAAAATGAAAGCACCACAGGACTCTTGCATTAAGTTTCTTGCTTTCCCAGGGATTTACTCTAGAGAAAGTGGGGAGGGAGGTGGGAAGGGAAAGGGAGCGGTAAAGAGATGTTATACATTTCTTTGTTTCTGGAAAAATCATCCCCGTTTTTCTAATTTCCCAGAATTAAAAGAAAGTTATTTTCTTTTTGTTACCATGGAAACTTCTAGTAACACTGTTGTGTGTGTGTGTGTGTGTGTGTGTGTGTTTTCCTTTACCTAAGTTTAAGAACACTTTAAAAAGATTTGAAAGAACTTTTTAAGGACAGTTTTCATATGTTTGCTTTCTCATTTTGGGTTGTGATACTTGTATTCCTTTTAATTTTATCAATTCATGCGTTAGAATAGTTTCTGATGTGTGTGTATATTACTTTAAATTTAAACTCACATATACAGATACATAAATATATATTACACGTCATCGTTTGGCTGGAAAACATTTATTCTTTTTTTTTTTTCCTTCACTGCACTGCCCTTGTGGTGGTGCTTTTCTGCCCTTTGCCTCCTGAGTTCAGCCTATGAAAAGGGGAAGGCCCTCCTTAGCCTCCACTGACAAGTCCTACCCACTGCCATAGGGTGTGCAATCAGTTCATGAATACAGTTGATCTGGGTCTGTGTGACGTCAACCATCTGGGTGAGCTCTGTAACATCTAGCAAATTCTCTGAGCATTTTCAAACATTTGGCTCTTTCAGACAATGTGAATGAAAGATTTTGAATTTTCAATTAAATTAACATTTTGCTTGAAAATGTTTTCACATTCAAGAACAATAACTCACCTAGATGCTTGGGTTCTTAACATTTCTAGCTGCATGAGAAAGTAAAGGGCTGGAGATTTTATACTGATTTAGGCCATGGAAACAGATGCTGGGCAAGGTGGTGTCAGGAAGTTTTGCTCTGAGTTGCGTGTCACTCCTACACAAATGCACGTGGTGAGGACTTCTCAATGCTCTCAGTGTTGACCTGGCCTAGCTGTCAACTGCTTAATGACAAATTTCTCTGAAGTGAGCAATATTTACAACTATGAATGGACTCTTACCACACTGGCAACTGTTGGCAGTGGACTCACTCACTCCAACCCACTCTCCAAATGTGAAATAGCGAGTATTCAGAAGGGCAGCCTATCTTTCAAAATAGCAAACCTGCAGATGAGCCAACCAACACAACCAGTCTTTGCCTGAAGAATACAGTAACATGGTTGCTTTGCTTTCAATATTGTTAGGAAACCACTGAATACATGAGCCACGAACATGGAAAACGAGGAGTGTGTGGAGGAAAAAGGAATATACAAGGAGGAAATACAAGACTAAACAATGCAATCTTCTCCTTAAATGTTTCAGAATTTTATTAATCCTTTCATAAATTCTTTCCAAATTAACTCAATAGCCTCATCTTGTTTAGCCTCGTATGCGTTTAGCTTGATCGCCTTACAACTAAATTGTGTAAATCACTACATAATCAAGTCTCCTAAAGATAAGAAAAAAAAAATCTAGCAAGACTTATGATAATGAAAGATAGAATTTAAAGGTCAAAACTACTAAAAAAAAATACCACGGCTTATCAGTCAGCTGCGTGCGAGTCACATTAGGATATAAATGTGCACCTTGAGGGTAAGTATAATCCACTAATACAGGGAGCACAATAGGGAGGCAAGATGGGGTTGCGTAAAAAAAAATCACATCATTTTGCAAAATGCAGGGTCCTTTGAAACTCTGTCTCACTTAGAAAACCTCTACATGTAGTCAAATTAACTTTTCTAAAGATAATTTGGTATTTTAAAGGTAATCATCATTTCCTAAACAAACAGATGGCATCATAGGGTAATTAACCATTTTAGGCTTGACAAAATTTTTCCATTTTAGTGTATAGCTCTCCTGATATTGAGGTAAGAGACACTGTGCTGGACAGCATCTGTTTTATTTTACATGATTGGGGTTGAAAATTCTGGAATTTTATATTCACATGGACTTAAAATAATCTGGAAATGGAAACATTGGGACTACATGCTAGAAGCATATATACATTTATTAAATACTCCACTGTCGGGTCATTGATTTAATACAGAATTTGGTAAACTGGGTAGGGGGGTATGAGAGAGGTAAAAGGAAAGAATCAATACGGATTGTGTTCAGATTGATTTTGTATAAACACAATGTATTCATGGTTATATCTCTTGTTAGTGATCTCCAGCCAACACAAAGATGCTCTAAATGGAAGACTGATGTTTAAACAAATCAAATAGTGGCTGCCTCATAAAATTCATTTCACCTTTTACTAACCAAGGTCAAAAATGGAGGGGTCATTGCCTCTGGGTCAGAATTACAACAGCAAATGAGATCAGTTAATCTCACGTGAAATTGGTCTTTCTACATCTACATTCTTTTCAGATCAGTTTAGGTGGAGATTCATTACCTAAACCATATGGACCCACATTCAATGATACCATATTCTTGTCTTATACTTCCTTGCCTTCAGCAGAGTTTTTCTGTGATTCTGATTAGTTTTGAAAAGAACACACTGAGGAGAACTTAATTAAGGATCAGACAGGAAGAAGAAACTGGGAAAGGAAGACATTCAGACAATAAACATCCAAAACAAAGTGCACAAAAAGAGTAAGCAACACCCCCTGGGATTTTCCTTGTTTGGGGATCTTTGAAAGAAGCTGTTATGGGAAGATACGCAGGTTGCTAGAAAATGCAGGGTTATTAAGGAGGAAAAACTCACAGGGTGATTCTCATAGCTCGACTGAATTACTACTTGATTAATTCCTGATAAAACTCAGAGCGCACAAAGCGAGGCAGTGAATCCTTTTCCATCAGGGCATAGATTCTCTTCTGGGCCACATCAAAGCTGCTCAGGGAAGGTTCCACCAGGCTCTTCATGGTGATGTCCTTTGTGAAGTGATCGATATTCACCTGTGGGCCAGGAAATAGGGTCTTGAGTCAGCTCAGATTGCAGGATTTGATGAGAGGTGGGGAGGGGAGTGGAATTTGTCATGGATAAAACACTTGAGGGGCAGAGGGTCATAAAAAGTAAGAAACATCACTTCTGTTTCATGGGCAATGGGGTAAGGCAAGTGAAGCTCCAATACATGCACGAGTCACATTAGGATCCAATCAGTGTTAGATACCTGCCAGGTGTCAGACCCTCCACTGGCAGCTAATACGTGCATATGGCACCTAATCCTCACGATGGCCCTATGAATATATATATATATATATATATATATATATATATATATATATATATCAAACTTCAGTGGCTTTCTCAAGGCCACAGACCTAAGATGTGTATTTGCATCAAAGGCTCAGAATTTGGATACTGGTGTCCCAATGCCTAGTCCCTCATCCTTCCTTCCCCAGCGTTTGGTTTCCTGCCGGGTGGAGAGAGTGAAGAGGGGGAAAGGAGTCCTGCCTGGGACTCAAGACCTTGTGCATGGTTCTAGAAGAGGTAGGAAACTTGATCTTTCCTGAAACAAACCATGAAACAGTGCTTTTGACAGAAGACCAATAAGAATAGCAGCTCATGTTTATTGAGTGCTTCGTCTGTGCAGGCTCCTTGCTGGGGACGTTACTTTTACAGGCTCTGTGCTGGTGAACCCATCTAACCTCACAGCTCTGAGGCAGATACTGACCTCTACATCTTGCAACCAAGAAGCAGAATGTTAAGTGATTTGCTCAAGGTCATAAGTGGTAGAGAGAAGATTCAGAAACCTGGCAATGTAGCTTTTAACCAGCAGGCCGCAGTGTTGGAAGGCACTGTGACTTTTATGCCCTGAGTGCAGTGCTGACACACTGCATGTGTCTCGGAAACGTCATTCATATTAGAGTCCATGTGAATGGTCCCCCCTGGAGTTGTGCAGTCTACAGCCTGCACAGGCGTGCCTGAGTTTGATTTGAGAGAAATCACCATTTTATCATCTCATATATGCTTTAAGGACTCTTAAGTTCTCTGTCTGTAAAAGAGAAGGGAACAGAATCCAAATCAGCCTGTGGTTCTGAATTGGAACCCTGGAAAATGTCTCCTGTCTCTCTTGAGCTGCTAGACGTCCTTGGTATGGAGAAAAGCTATCCGAGCTCAGAGGACGTTGGTGTGGCTGGAGGCAGAATCAAGGACTAAAGCTTGACTGGGGAGTGCCAGGCCAGAGTAGTCTGGACAGGGAGCGTGAGCTGTGCTCTAAGGTCCAGGATGGAAGAGTTGAGACCATGGTGAGAAGGGCTGGAGTGCTTTCTGCAGGTGTGGTGGAAGAGGATACAGAGCAGCCTCAGAGCTAATGTCCAGGGCCGGTCTCTGCATGTGGAGACTCTGAGCCCAGTGAGTTCAACTTACATGCCCACCAACGCTCCGGAGGGACAGGCCATATTGTGTATTTCTCTGTTCCCAATCTGCTACTCTTGCTGCTACACTAAAGCAATGCTTCGTCCTTCTCTTACACTGAGTATATACTGAGCTAGGAAGGCAATTCTACTCAGAACGGTTGAGTATCAAAGAAGTATGAGGCTCTTTCCTAACCTTCATGTTTAAAATAAGGGACGTCTTGGGGGCACCTGGGTGGCTCAGTTGGCTGAGCGTCCGACTCTTGGTTTCGGCTCAGGTCGTGATCTCAGGGTCATGAGGGGTCCTGCGTCAGGCCCCACGCTCAGTGGGGAGCCTGGTTGTGGTTCTCTCTCCCTCTCCCTCTGCCCCTCCCCTTGCTCTCTCTTTCTCTCTCTCTCAAACAAGTCTTTAAAAAAAAATAAAAGAAGGAATGTCTTTACCACTCTCTAACACATTGTATCCAGCAACTAATAACTGCTATTTGTCTATTACTTTTATATGCATAGGCCTCCTCTAATGAATCATTCTGACAAATATTCATCTGTTGACTTAGCCAGGAAAGCATTATTGATGAATTTTAGATATGGTTAAATGACAATTTGCAGTGTACGCATTATCTGCACATTTGAACAAGGTGTGGCCATTTCTCTTTTCAAAATTTGAGCTCCAATTCTTACCACTGTATTTTCTCCACCAGTTCCTGATGAGAAAAGGCTGAGGTGACTATTCGGAGAAAGAAACTTTAGATTGCTACTTGCCTGCACACGTGTGTTATATGGCTCAATCTGCTGCGCATCAACATAAACTGGTAAATTTTAGGTCAACATACAAGACTTGGAGAATTTTTAGAGTCATAACAGCTGCAGTTTTTTTTTATATAATTTTTTTTAATTTTTATTTATTTATGATAGTCACAGAGAGAGAAAGAGAGAGAGGCAGAGACAAAGGAAGAGGGAGAAGCAGGCTCCATGCACCGGGAGCCCGATGTGGGATTCGATCCCGGGTCTCCAGGATCGCGCCCTGGGCCAAAGGCAGGCGCCAAACCACTGCGCCACCCAGGGATCCCAACAGCTGCAGTTTTAAACACGCTCTAGGTACACACACATATATGCACGTGAGATGTTTACGGCAAAGGGGACTGAGGATGGGAGAACTTTAATCAGGGACCCATCTGAGGTCACACACAGAGGAAGGCCCAGGATTAGGATGTCCACATCCATTCACCTCACAGAAATTTGCTGACTGCTTACGATGCGCCAGGAGCAAGGTTCCCATCCTCTCTGATGCCCAGCTCAGAGAACAGTGGCCAAACTTAACCCACCTTCCCATCAAGACCTACCTCTTTGGGAGCCTCTGTTTGGATGAATTCTTCATAAATTTTCTTTGCCTTCTCAGCCATCTTGGCAGGGGACTTGATCTTCTTGTAGTCCTCACAGGCAAGCCAGAACTCAAGGTTTTCCTCACTGAACTCAGACTTCAGGAAACTTTTGAAGCTGGCAAGTCCATCTAGTTAGGGAGAAGGTCGGTTGGATGGATAAATACATATGCACTACCTGTATACATACATGCATTATAAATTCATCAAAAATATATTACAAATTTATTATAAATGTGCTTGCTAGTTTACTAACACTATATCCTGCTTTATAGCCTAGGTTCATTTACTGGGTATTTCTGTCACGTAAGAACCTTACAAGCGTTAACTCATTTGCTCACATTATGGACCTGAGGTGGGTGCTATTAATGTCCTCTTTTACGAAGAGTTAGAAGTCAGTAACTTGCTCTTAATGAACCAGCTGCTGAGTGGCAGAGCCGGGATTGAAATCCAGGCAGCCTGTATTTGGTGATAAGGGTTATCTGTATACAGCATCAGGGAATACTACAAACACTAATAGCATTTTAGATACTTTTCAATTACCAAAAAGAAAAAAAAATTGCAACTTGGTTTGGTCGTGTAATACCAATGTTGATCATCATGTGCAAACTACTTATGATCCTTTTTTTTTTTTAATTTCCTACAGATGATTTGTGAGCAGGTGTTCTGTTCCAGGCATTATGATAAGTCCCTATGGTAAGTAAAGTCATCATGGTTCCTGCCCTAATGGAGTTTGTAGATTCTGGGTGAAGTAGAAAGAAAATGAAGGGACACAAATAGCATTGACACGACAAAGGAAAAACCATATGAAAGATGGCCACAGGGTAACAGAAGGGTCTTAACTTCGTTTGAAGTATAGAGGAGGCTCCATGAGAAAGGGACATTCAGTTTGAGACCTGAGGATGGGTGAGAAGGGATCCAATGAAGTTACCACATGCTGAGTCATCCCTATGCCCATCAATCATAAATTGGTTTTTAAAACATATTCAATTTAATATAATTACAATTATTGTGATTGTGTTTTCAGTGTGCTGTTGCTCATGACTTTAGATTAAACTTTATTTTAAATAGACTTTAGATTATTTTAAAATATGTTTACATGGGGTGCCTGGGTGGCTCAATTGGTTAAGCATCTGCCTTCAGCTCAGGTCATGATCCTGGGGTCCTGGGGTCGAGCCCCACGTTGGGCTCCCTGCTCAGTGAGGAGTCTGCTTCTGCCTCTTCCTCTGCCTCTCCCCCGGCTTGTTTTCCCTCTATCCCTGCTCATATATATATTTTTTCTTTTTTCTATATTTCTAGCACCATTTGTTATAATTTAGTGACACAGGAGTCAGCATATATGCTGAAAGAAGGCCCAGATCTCTCTGTCATGGTTCAAGTTTTCATTGTTTCTTAAACAAGAGGTGTCAGATAGTCTCTGTTGAAATGGAAAGATTCCCAGGCATTTTCTAGCTGCTGGGAAATGATAGCAGACGTGAAGTCTTATGAGCGCCCACGCAAGACTGTAGAGGAAGCTATAACTTCACAGAATAAGCCTGTGGCCAATTTACTCTCATCTGGCCCATTTCCCCACAACCTATCAGGCACTCTGAATCACCCATTCCACATCTAAAGGTAGAGATAAAACCCCAGTCCTCCCAAGCATTGTTTTTTATGACCTGAGGACACACGCTTGGACTCCAGAACAGTGTTAACATTTACCAGGCATCTTGACGGTGAGATTGGAAAATAACTTTCCAGTGAAGTAAGTCCATTTCCTGGGTACTGGCTTTATCATTCTCATTGAATTCTACAGTATGATTTCAAGGCTTTTTAAAAATGCATACACTTTGAACGGAGACTCATAAAATGGCTTTATACTCTATTAGTCTAGGAGATGCTTCAAGCATCTCTTCTTTCTCTCAACTGGCTTTTGAGAATTCTCTGGATGGTCCCTTAGTAGGATCCTCAAGACAGTCTCCAGATACCTTCTCTCTTTAGCCTCTGAGTGTCTATTGGTCCATTCCTCAACACTCTCTGTTCAATTCCCATAACCCCTGAGGAAGTCCTCTTGGGTTAGAGCCAAATAGACTCCAGGAGGAATGTCTCTATTCTGCAAAGAATACACATGTCTTCTATGGCCCACACCACTGCCAGCCCACTCTACACCCCAGTGGAGCTCCCAGTGTGCATCCCTGTAAATCGCCACATTCTTCCCAGCTGAGCCTGCACAGAGCCTCAGAGTACTTCTCAATATACCTCTTCAGGTGTCCACTACTTAGGAAGCAGAGGAAGCCCGCCTGATCTCTGGTCTTGTGGCAGCAGTCTGGCTTGTGAGCCACATTATAGTCCCAGAGCTGGCCCTAATGAATGGTGTCACTTTTGACATCTGAGCAAAATAGCGTAGCAGCCCTCCCAAAGAAGAAAATGAAGCCACTTATATTTTCCCTTGAAAATAAAAAGAGTGTCGGATAAAGCCAAGTCAGTTTGGTGTAATAAAAATTTTGAAAACAAGATTAGAATAAATTTCTTGTCCTAGAGGAAAAATAGTGAAATTTAATGAACAGATACCTGATAGGTGCCACTGCATAGCTTACTGGTTCAGAGCATGGGCTCTGGAGTCCAGGCTGCGTGGGTGGATGCTAGCACACCACATTACTACGGTGGCTGGGGCAAGTTACCCACCCTCTGTGAGCCTCTGCTGCCTCATCTGCTGAATGGATATAATCATAAAACGCACTCGATAAGGTTGTTGTAAGGATCAGTAATCCGTGGAAAGCTCCTACCTGGTGTTGAACAGGATAGCTCACTCAGTAAGTATTGGCTTTTATCATTATTATTCATGCCCAACTTAAAATTGATCTTTATCACTATCTAAAACCTAACTCAAGTGTTGCCTCATATGGGAGGTATACCACCATCCACTTGCTCTTGAAAATTTTTATTATGATGAGGGAAGAGCTCTCTTTGTTCTTTTGTTGTGACTGTCGCTTACATAATGGTCTTCTCCAGGAGGCTGTCAATTCGTTGAGTTCAAGGTTTGAGTTTCATTGGTTTTTGCCTCTCTTTCACATCCACTTCCTATCTAAATCTGTGCCCAATACATTTTTTTTTTTATAAATAGAGAGCGAGTGAGAGTGGGAGGATGGGGTAAAGGGCAGGGGAGAGAGAGAATCTCAGCCGGGCTCTGCACTGAGCACAGAGCCCAACACAGGACTCAATCGTATGACCCTGAGATTGTGACCTGAGCTGAAAGCAAGAGTCAGCCACTTAACCATCTGAGCCACGCAGATGCCCCTGTGCTTAACATTTCATAGATTTGTGCTGAACTATATAAGACCCATTAAGGGAAGCATTTGCTCCCAAGTCACAGAACTGAAGAACACAAACTTAGAAGAAAAATAAATTTTCTGCTACTACTCTAATGTTTTATTTCATAATCAAGTTACCTAACCTCAGTTTGCTTTTCTGAAAAATAGAGAATGTTATGGTACCCAAGTCCTCAATGTATTACACACATTAAATAAACCAATATATACAAAGTGCTTTGGACAGTGCCTAGTATGTGGTGAATAATACATGGAAGCTCTTGTTTATTATTCTTGATATCATTATCATTATTGCTTTAAAGAAATTTGTGGCTGCCAGTGAGTAAGATGAAGACACAGAACAGCCAGAAAAGAGGGGATAATATTGGAAACCAAAGAGTGAGAAACAGAAGGTGAATACAAAGACAGGGGAGAGAGAGAGAGAGAGAGAGAGAGAGAGAGAGCTAGATCCAGGCTACTCTATTCCTCATGGAAGAGTCCAAATCTCAAGGGTATCTCAGGAAATGTTCTGACTTTCTGGAGCTCCTGGGGAAAAAAATAATTCACATAAAAACTTTGCTGCTATTAGATTGTGTTTCATTCCTCCTCTGTTCTTAAAGACAGTCACGGGGAGAAATTTCATATTTAAGCTTCCATATGCGATCTATTTTTGTGTTTAATGAACAACACACTGGTTATTTGTCCCATGGACCTGATGAATACAGATGGCGTCACCTACAGAGTCGAACACAAAATGTGTAAGAAATTGACATACTTTCAAAACACAATCAAATACACTGGAGGATTAAAAATTATTTTTTAAATGAGGAAAGGTAAGAGAAACCTTGTTAGCTGGAAAAGATTGAATAGGGCCTTAATTGTCTTATTTTTAAGAGGTTAAGTACCAATTGATTTAATTTCCACTCAAGATAAACGTGGTTAAATTCAGGAATGCTTGGGAACTATATCAATTGTGAGTCTGTGAGTCAATACCCTACATTAGTGGAACAGAATGACAAATACTCTTTGTAAGTCAACAAAGGTGCTATACTCCTCAAGGTTAAATGGTTTAGTTTATCCGATCAATCATGCAAGAGGAGATTGTGGAGTTTCAAATGCATAGATTTCTCAAATGTACCTTTCGTCGTTACCTATTTTGCATCAATCACAGGTAATGCGAGATATTTCTGGTCTTGGATCATTAGTTTTAACAGATTCAAATAAAAACATCTCATGAGAACTGAGTTGCTCAAGTTTGGCTTAAATTTATTCATGAGGCATAATAGTTGGCATCTGGAAGAATGGGTCTAATATTGTTTCTTCAGGTCAGTGGTGCCAGGGTAGAATTATTGAGTGTGCCAGTCATTCCATTAGTCCTTCTCCAGGGATAGCTAGCCAGAGAGGGAAGCAGAGAGCGAAGACAACGTGGCAAGAGAGCGGCACAGAGCACGAAGGGGAGTCAAGAGTGAAGCAGGGGCAGAGAGGGAGATGGGAAATAAAGAGGAAGAGAGAGACAGAAGGATACTAAGAGTTGAGGACTAGACTTAGAGAGTCTGTCTTATTTACTAATGGCAGGCCCTGCCCTAGGACGTGGCTCTCCTTTGTTTCAGGAGGTCTCTCTTTTCATACCGGAACCCCTCTTTTTCACTTAAGCTAGTTTGAGTATAGAGAGATACCCTTTCAAAGGAAGAATTTTGACCTGAGTGATTATCAAATGCTTTCCCACATATCATTTGGAGATATCAATTGCCCAAGTCTTAAAAATGTTAGTTACCTAGGAGGATAATTATGTAGAATTGAAGATTATATGGACACACACACTCTCTCTCTCTCTAAAATAAATA